TCCGCAGGGCCGGAGCCGGCCCTCGCTCCCGTCGTGGCCCGGGACTCTGAGGGGCAGTCCTGTTCCCACACAAGTTGTGCAACAGCCAAGACTCTGCACCCCCCACACCCCCCACAGTGAGAGGCCGAGAAGCATTCTTGACATTCTTTCTGGAGAAAAGGGGTGAAACGTCTGAATTTGGGGGTCACCATGTTACACAAATTGCAATCTAATCGTTTTTACAAGAACACACTTGCAGGAAGAAAAGGAGCCCGAGAGGAGGGGCTGAGGAGACAGCTTGTTTTGTCCCCGTTTTCCCCAAAGTTTGGAGCTATTGTCGGGCCAATCTTGCTCCCTTCCCCAGAGCTGTTGAGCTAGAGTTTTCTAGTTAAATTGGTCTTGGGGTGGGGGCTGCTGAGGGCCCACGGTGCCATTTCTGTTTGTTTTCCCAAATCAAAGCCCCAGCAGGGCTCCCAGGGCCGCGCGGGGCTGCTGCTTGGAGGGACGGGCCCTTTCCCAGAGCCGCCGTGTCCGCGGAGGCTCCGGACTTCACCTCCCGGGCACCGCACAGCAGTGTGGAGGGCCTCAGGCCCAGAGGCCAAAGAAATTGTATCTTTTTATTGGCCCATTTGAAGTGTGTGTGGCCATTTCAGGGACTCCGAGCGCCGGGCTGCAGCAACTGTCTCGGGCCCAGCTGGGCCGGCGGACATGGGGCTGCGCGACTAGCCGCGGCCTCCCAGCCGGTGCTTACTCTAGCCCTCGGGGTTCCCTCGGCAGGCAGGGTTCTGGTTCTTACCGTAGATGCTGGCATGACCCTTTCTAGGGGTGGCTTGGATGCTGGGACAGGGGCCCAAGGTGACTTGGTCTGGGTGTTGCCCTGATGCTGTGGTCCCGACCCTGCTGCCCGTCCGGCGCACGGGTGCCCAGCTCTCTGTCCCTCTGAATCCCGGGACGGGGGGAGGCAGGTAGAGCCATGCTGGGCTTCACGCCCCCACCCCCACCGCCTTTCATCTTCTATTTCAAACAAACATGAAATTACTTCTGCAGATTAAAGGGGAGAGCTCCTCCGTCATTCCTGAAGGCCTCACTAATGGAAGGGGCAGGGCCCCCAAATCTGGAAGGAGGGAGAACTGTGGAGCCAAACAGCCCCCTACCTGGGTGTGCACAAATGTCCAGGAGCACCTGTGAAAGAGAGGTGGGGGTGGGGGATGGACTCCTTCAGGGACTCCGGGCTGCCCCGGGGTGGGGCAGTCATAGCTGGTGGCCCTTCTGCGAAGACGGGCCCTGCCTGGGAGCCAAAGTCCGTGATCTCTAGGGTCTGGCCTTCAGCCTGATCCCTCTCAGGGTCCCCCACCACAAAGGCTTACCTCCTACCCCGGAAAGAGGAACACCGCCCAAGGGGGCTGGGGGCAGGGGCTCTAAGGGCCTGCCCTCCCGCCGACTGCAGTGCCGTCCTGCTGGGGGGGGGTCTCCTCATTGCCCAGGGCCAAAGCGGAAAGGTAGAAGGGAACCCTGAGCTGCCGCCTCTGTTCCTTCAGCTTCTAGGGAAGATGGTGGCTCCACTGGGGAGAAGGGAGCTTAAGGGTGAGAGCGGGAAGGCCTGGGGCTGAAGTCTGCTCTCACACTGGTGGTGAGCACTGCTTGTGAGAGCCAGGAGTGCTCCTTCCTGCCGCCGGGGCCTCTGACCTGGGAAGCGTGCGTGGCCTTCCTTCTCCCCTCCTGCCAGGGAGGAGGGCCCAGCGGCTCTTGGGTGCAAGTTCGGGATCAGGCCTGGAGGGTGTCCCTTTTCCCCTTCACCACCCCCCCATCCTGCAGAAACTCCCTGCTTCTCCCCGTTCCCTAGCCACAGGGATTAGCGGGTGCACTTGATGTTGAGGGGTAGTTGCTAGGGCCGGAAGGCCCCCCTACGTGGTTGCTAGGGGTCTGGCATCAGGGCGAGGGGTCTGCCCACTGCCGCGGTCACGGAGGGACTTACACAGTCACAAAGAAATTGTTCTTCTCAGTAATCTGCTCTCGGCCACCGGGAGGGGCGAGGGGTGGGGAGCACGCTGCAGCCCAGCAGGCTGGGGGCTGTGATCACACAGGCGTGCTCGCCCCGGGCTGGGGGCCAGCCGGGCCAGGAACACCAGGGACCGGCCAGCTAAGCTGCTTTCTCAGCGATTTCTCTCCCCAGACACAAAGGTGTTTACTTGTTTTAACATCTCCTGGGACTCCCCTTCTCCCTTTGTGTGGTCTTTATCCCCAATGAGGTTTGAGCCCCAGATTACAGGCAGGAATTAAGGCATTGGACTCAGGCAGCTCAGAGCTGCATGACCTGCAGGATCAAGAAGTAGAAAGTAACCAAGTGTGCGCGCGCGCGGGAGGGGGCCGGCCCGGCCGCAGGGCCCATTCTTCCACCCTGAGAACGGCCGCTGGGCAGCGAGCAGGTGTGGTGCAGGCCTGTGGCTGGGGGAGGGGCAGGCACTGGGACTGGGGTGACAGGGTGGGCATCCTGGGCCATTTCCCTTGGCCCCATCCGAAAGGAGCCTGATTTTAGCTCAGGAGGGAGAGCAGCATCTCCCCAGGGACTGAGGCCATTAGGTTACCAGCCGGTGTGGGGGTGGAGGTGGGACAGTCTCTCCTCCTCTGCCCCTCTGTTCTCTCCCCAGTGGGCAGCTAATGATGCACCTGGGCAGCGACTTCCCCCCAGGGGCTGGGGTGTTGGATGTCATGTATGAGTCCCCTTCCACACTCTTGTCCTGTGGCTATGACACCTACGTTCGCTACTGGGACCTCCGAGCCAGTGTCCGGTGAGTGTGCTAGGCGGGAGGTGGGCGGCAGTCCCGGCCCTCCCTCTGGCCCTCCTGGGGCGCCCCCATAAGGCACAGGCCCTGCAGGTAGAGGTGAGGAGTGGCAGCCAGCAAGGTCAGATCGCGCTGTTCAGTTCCTTGCTTGGCAGCCCTGGTCCCCTGACCTGGAGACCACAGCCACTGGGTGCTGATGGAGAGCCCGGGGAGTCAGCGGCCCGTCCGTCAGCATTCTGCCCGCCTTTCTGCCCTGCCACCCAAGTCGTGTGATATGTAGCCAGCCGTGGGAAGCACAAGCGAGGGCCTCGTGTGGCCTGGGGTTCGGGCACTGGCTAGAAAGAGAGCTTTACAGAGGAGGCTTGGTCCTGTTAAGTCTGGTTTTTAAAGAGAGGGTGATTCAGCTTCTGCCCCTGGGCCAGAATGGATTTCTAAGGTCCCCGTGGAAGCTGGGGCGGCAGGCACCCCTGACCCTCCCTCTGACGGCCTCTTCCCGCACAGGAAATGTGTCATGGAGTGGGAGGAGCCCCACGACAGCACCCTGTACTGCCTGCAGACCGATGGCAACCACCTGCTGGCTACCGGGTCCTCCTACTACGGGGTCGTGCGGCTGTGGGACCGGCGCCAGAGGGCCTGCCTCCACGTAAGTGCGCTGCACACCTCCTACTCTGAGATGCCAGGACTCCTTACTAGTGGCTGTACTGGGGGTGGGGGGTCGGGTGGCTGCCTGGAGAAGCGGGGGAGTCGGCATGCCGCCTGGCCCCCTGCGCTGGACCGGACAGGTTAGGGCTCCCTCCCGCTTCCCCTCGGGCTGCTCCTGCCATGGCCGTCCCTCCCTCCCTCTGTTGCAGGCCTTCCCGCTGACCTCGACGCCACTCAGCAGCCCCGTGTACTGCCTGCGCTTCACCACCAAGCACCTCTATGCGGCGCTGTCCTACAACCTCCACGTCCTGGACTTCCAGAACCCGTGACAGGGCCACCCCGGCCTGTGGGCCAGGAGGCCAGCTACTCAGGGACCTCTCCGCCTGGAGGGTGCAGGGATACCTCTGCTTTCCCCCACCCCCCGATGCCTGTGCTCCTAGACCTGCGACCACAGTGCTTGGGCACCGTCAGGTAAAGGCTGCTGACTCCCGGGAATTGGGGGGTACCCCTCCCAGGAGCTAGATGGAGAGAAGGGATCTGCTGCTTTGACAGAACAGCTGAACCTGGCCGGGCCTTGCTTCCCTGTTGGCCAGAGCAAGGATCCGGTCTGGACAGGCCAGCCCTGCCCCTCACCCCTTCTTAGAGCCGTGATAGCTTCGTGAGGTGAGGGGCTCCGGCCATCCCTTTCTGCCCCTTCCTTGGAAGGAGGGGTGAGGCTGCCAATCCTCTGCTCTGGCCCCTACCTCCTCAGTCCCCTCTCTTGACCAAGCTCTTGGGGCTCATTCCTGGGGCACTGTGGGCTGGTCTCGCTTTGAAACTGAGGAAGGACAAAGGGAACCCAGCAGTTTTGAGTGAGTTCTGAGACAACCCAATCTCAGGCCGGCTGCTAAGACATGCTACAATGTTCATTTTTTAAAAAATAAAGCTTGATTGTTCAGTTCATCTCTGGCTGGGGAGTCCTGGGCGGCAGTAAGAGAGGGAAAGACATATTCAAACTTGAGGATGGGCATGTTGGGGAAAGGGTAAGATCAGTCTCATAGCTCAGTGTCCCTAAGACACTCATCTCTTGGGCCCCAGTGGTGGGGTGTGTGCTACCTGTGGGGTATAGATAGGGGACTGTAGAAGGGCTTCGTGCTGTTGAGGAGCTAAGCTGCTCCCCATCTGCAGAAACCCTTCTTCAGCCTCCTCGAACACACATGCACTCTTTGCAACAATACGACCCTCCTCCTGCCTTCACACCCACAATGTCTTAATGTCCTGGACTGTTTCCAAGGTTTCTGTATTTCAAAAAGTTCTCCTTTACCTTACCTCCCCTTACCACAGGGAGCGCATCTGGGCCCTTATGCAAGCTGGGACAGCCCAGGGTTTCCACCAGCCTAGTGTCCCTCAATTTACGCAAATAGGATGGGGAAGACACCCACCCCGCGTTAGGCTCAGGGCCCCCCGGCCCAGCTCTGTTCCATCCATTCCCCATGCTTCCCTCTCTGTGAAAGGCTTGACATTGAAGGTCCCTGAGGACAGAAGGGAGTATCGTCACCACCACCCTCCCTGGCAACAGGCGCGTGGAGAGCTGGACAAGAGGGCAGTCGCCCCGCAGTGACTCAGAACGACTTTACTTGGGAGATCAGACCATGATATGGGGGCTAGGAGCACCCCAAGGCCCAGTTCTCACAGAGCCTGGAGAGCTCTTAGAAGAGAGGACGTACCCCTGTTCCAGAAAGGCCCAAGCCACAAAGTCCGAAGAGCCTCCCCCACTGCTGCGCTGCCCGAGGTCCGGTCACCACACCGCCTGAGGTGCAGGCTCAAGGATGCTCCGCTACTGGGTCTTACAGTCCCCGTCACTGCTGTGGGCCGTCTTCACTTTCTTCAGTTCCTTCTGAAGCTCTGACTCAGCCTCCAGGACCTCCTTCGGCTTCCGGTACTGTGGACGGAACCAGGAAGAGCGCGTCATTCAGTCACAGATCCCCTCCCTACTTACACACTTGTGGCCTCCTCTGATCCCGTTATTTGAAAATGAGGAAATTGATGCCTACAGGGTTGAATGATTTGCTCAAGATCACATGGCTGGGGAGGAGGCTTCCACCAGAGTCCCAGTCCTGCGATCTCCACCCCTCCACGTCGTCCTCTGTCCTCTTGCAGCTGTGACTTCTGAGATCAGCTGAGGCCCCCACCCTGCTCTCCCCCTGCTGAAGGAGGGATGCCTCTTGTCTAGCAAGCACACGCCAGGGGTTGGGGCTGGAACCCGGGACTCCCATGGGATGGGAAATGGGCAGGGAAAGGAGGAGCCTCTCCCTGATGCAGTGGCCAAGAAGTCTGGGTTCATCTTACAGAGATGATCAGGGTGCGGTTGGCATGAGCAAAACTCAGCACGGACTCATCCAGAGGAAGCTGGTACCGGTCTAGGTCAGGAATGGAGAACTTCTTGTAGTACCTGTGGGAACACCAAGAGGTCATTGAAACATCCCGCAAGGGGATCCCCAACAACTGGGCAGCAGGCCCTCTGGTACCAACTTTCTACACAGTTCTTCCGCACTTTCCACAGAGCCAAAGAGGAAGAAGGGAAAGCATTGAGAACAACCATATGAATGAAAGACGTTTTGGCCAAGGGCAGGACCCCTCACGGTTCCTTGATTAGAACAAGGATTAGAGTGACTCATGCTTTAGGCTCAGACACTCAAAGGCACGCAGAAGCAGCCTCTGTAATGTACAGTTCGGGCAGACCAGGCCTCTGCTGCACCCCAAGAACGTGAGAACATGTATGCTAACAAGGGACAGAATAAGTCTATCTAGGACTGTTCCCCAGAGCTGGGAACCAACGGTTCCATTTACATGCAACTTTCTCTGAAGGCCCCGACTACTTTCTCCCTCTTTTGTGGTCTTTCTAGAAGGCCCCGTGGGCCTGACTCCACTTGTAGGCCAGAGAGGGAAGCACATCCACAAGGAGAAATCTAGGAGGACAAACCGTGTGCCTCATCTCAAGCGGGATCTCTGGACTACTTTGCTGGCCCCGAGATTCCCTACCCCCAGCCCCCATTTTCATACACAGTCCCTGTCATCTGCAAGGGCCAGTCCAGAGATTAATGATCCTTTTTAGTAAGAACAAACCCAAAAAACCCAGAGAGCAACACCTAGCCCATGCCACATACGATTGGACTTCATTTTACAGGAAATTTGACCTTTACCAAAGAGGGAGGTAACGGATCTCGCCAGCTTCACGGCCAGCTGTCCGGGGAGCCGGGACATAGCTCCTTGCTCCTGAGTCAGGTGCCTGTCACCGAGAGCGCCTCCTCTCTAGCAGCAGACCTGTATGGCATCTTCCCCGGTGGAAGTGGAGCCTGGGCCCCCACTGGCCAGCAGACCTGCCCCTCAGGCCTGGCGTCCCTGCGGCCACCGTGGGCCTGCGGGCTGGGAAGGGAAACACCACAGGCAGGTACGCGCAGCAACTTAAGTGAGGGGCCCGGAGAGGACAGGGCTTTGAATACTTCAGAGGGGCCTGGTCCTGGTGGTGACAGCTACTGCGGGTCCACTTCAAAAGCCCCAGGGCCCCAGGGACTCAGAGAGTTGACATCAATGCAGCACTTCTGCCCTGCTCTCCTGCCCAAATCCCTGGGAGTTTAGAGGAGGCTCTCAGGGCCCCTCTCCTCCCAGGTTCTCCGCTCCCGCCAAGGTGCTGGGACCGCAGCAGGGGAAGAATGTTTACTTAAAGGCTGACAGTTCAAAAGGAGTGGGGGCTGGGGGATCCTAATGGCCCCACAAGCTTGCTTTATTTCCCAAAGCTCTGCCCCAGGGAAAGGCGATCCATCTGCCTGCAAAAGCGGGTGGAATGCTGCCTCATCCTCCTCCTAGCCCGGGCTGAGGGCTCTTCCTGGGGCCCTTGGGCTGGCCAGCAAAGGTGGCAGACACTGATAATAGGGGGGAGTCAAAGGTTAAACAGCAGAGATTAGATGAACACAAAGGCTTGTTAGGAAGTGTTAACATCTTCCTTGCAAATATACACAAGAAGCAGAACTGGGAGAGAAGCAGCTCAGGCACGCGCAGCCCAGCCGAACCAGCAGGGCCCGTGGAAGGCCTTACCAAGCAGAGTGTGGGGACATCCTTTCTGCCTACCTGGCTTGTGCACCAGGGTGGGACAGGGACGTGCCTATGTACCCTCAGAGGGGCACCAGCAAAGCATATTCCCCAGGCTGGGACAATGGGACTGAGAAAAGAAACCCTGGGGCTTGGCCTCAGAAGGAACTTGCTGTGCATGGCTTGTGTCCGCCCAGTCCCACTCGCACACCTGTTACCACAAGGCGAGGGGCTGGAGGCAGAGTGCGTGTGGACGTTCTGCTTTGTCTTGAGTCTATTCTAATGGATTTAGTTTACTGGTTGAGGTTACACAACTTTCCTCAGATGCTCCTGCTGGGCAATGTTCAAGGGCGTACGGGACATCTGCTTCCTCTACTCAGGGTACAGCCCACCCCCTGCAGACCCCCCATCCCCTGGCCTTGGGGCTCGCCTTGAGAGGAACCACACATGACTTACTCATCAGTACCTGGCCTAGAGAGGGACCCACTGTGCTTCTGGAAAACACAGACCGCTCGGCCTCGAGCAGCCCTAGGGAGACAGCAAACATGTTTTTAGCTATCAACGGTGCCCTAAGCCTTGAGCTATGAGCTGGGGATTTAAAGATGAAGAAGAAAGAAGGCCCTGTCTCTGCCTGAGGAGATCTTGTGTTTCTGCTGAAAGCTAGACCCTTAGAGTGCAGCGGCTCCTGGGCTTTTGGCGGACCTGTGACACCCCCTGTTCCCACCGCCTATTACTGCTCTGTCTCAGCCACACAAAGACAGCTGACGTTTGTTATGCTTCCTGGGCCAGGCACTGCTCTACACACACCGAGTCCTCAAAACAACCCCCTCATTGGCTGCTCTTACTATCCTCTTTCACAGAAAACTGAGGAACCGACCGGTATCATGCTGGAGTCACAAAACCATCCATGGAGAAGCGCCTATTATAAGTACTAATCCCCCAAACCTCCTGAGCCCCCGTCTCTCCACACTCTCTCCTCGAAGTGACAGAGCCCTGGTCTAGGTTGGGGCAGACATGGGAGGGACTGGACTCTCCCTTAGGATCCAGCCAGCCTGCGGGTCCTCTGGGCACTGCAACACAGTGGCTTTCCTTTCGGAATGTCAGAAGTGTTCAAAAGACACGGGAAAGCGAAGGCTGTCAGGACAACTCCCAGTCCTGGCCTGTAACCCCGGCAGGCCCCTCCACTTCTGGGCCCAAGTTTCTTCCTCCGGATTCCTTCCTCCAATAAAGGAGCTGAATGAACTTTCGTCTCCAAACTAGACAAACGAGATGAACTTGAAGTCACTTGTCAAAGGGACCAGAACAGGCCAACTCTGTACCTTCCCCTAAACTGTGTGGAAAGAATGGCTCCTTCACTTGGGCTTTTTGGGAAATGACCCACAGTACCCCCCAACCCTCTTTCTGCTGTATCCCCTTCCCAATTTCCAGTCGTTTCCCAACCTATTCTCCTTTGTAGTGACTTGGGAAGGGACAAGAGGCCAGACCTCTTGAGAGAGTCTTGGAGAGGCTGAAAGCAGAAGCAGGCCCGCTAGAGCCATTCGGGCCGGGCACAGGCTCAGCCAGACTAGTCCTGAGAAGCCTCTAGCCGGCCCCGCCCTTAGAGAAGCAGCCGCCATATGTCCTACCAAAGAGAAACCTTTTGTTTTTAATCCAGTTTCCTAAACTTATTTGACGACGGAATCCTTTTTGTCTAGTGATGCCTATTAACACCTCCCACGGTGCTGTCACCAATGTCAAATCAGCCAAGTTCCAATTTCCAAAGAATTGCTGAAGACATGCTTCGGGCCGGCCTCTGGGCCGGAAGTTTGTGTACATATGATTTCATCAAGTTGCCCAAGCACTCTGTGAGGTAGGTCTGAGTGTTTCCTCTGATACATGAGGAAACCTCGCCCCAAATACTACAGTTTGTATGGGGGGGCAGAGGACAGATTTAAGCCAACGTTTTCCCAATCCAGTGCCCTGCTCCATTCTACTTAACAGCTGCCAGCTGTAGGCTGAGGCTAAGAATCTTCTTTCTGCACACTCTTACCAAGAGCAGGAAGAACCACACTGGGATTCTGGAAAAGTACTTTTTTTCTTCCCTGATTCATCCCCTCACTAGTACCGGAGGCCAAGGACATGATACACTGGAATCAATCCTTTGGGAATTGGGAAGTGGCCAATCCAGTCCTTCAGGGATGAGGCAGGTGTGGACAAAGGAACGTTGGTTTTTACTGGTAACCACGTTCCAGAACATTAGAACTCGGGCAGGCACAGAACCAGCAGGCAACAGAAGAAGGCAAGTCAGAGATGCCACCGTGTGGGGCCTACAGATGCTGGGGCAGCTAGACTGTCGCTAACTTTCCCCTCGCAAGTCAGCTCAGCACGCTGACTCGACAGACACATTTATAGAATTAAGATACAACCCGAGAATGAAAATACGCACCCCGCCCAGCACTGCGTGGTGTGATGATCAGAAAAGAGTTTTAACGGATCCTGAAAAAACGGAGTATCCTGCTCAGAAGAGTAACCACTGAGTCATTGACTTAGCGGCAGTAAAGGTGTAAGACGCATTACTGCCGCTGGTAGGAGATGAAAATGCGAGTCCGCTCAAGAAAGAGCTGGTTCAAGGTTTAGCGGCCTTTCTCTCCTACCTCTGGGCAGAGGGACCTGAGGAAGGCTGGGCCACAGGACCAGAGGCTCCGTGCGGGCTCCCAAGCGGCGCGCGCGTACACCCCTCCTCTCTGTGGATCCAGCCCCCGCCCTGCCCCTTCCAGGGGCTTTACTCCCACCCCACCTGGCCTCGCCCATCAGTTCAAAAATGTCTCCCCCTGCCTTGAGCGCAGGAGTGGGCGTCCCGCCATGTTGCTCCTGGCCAACAGCGCCGCCTACAGCCGGGTACGTGCAGCAGATGGGACCCCGAGGATCCGCCCGCAGATGAAATTTTTGGTGAGCTAGCTAGACTCTCTCCTCTCACTCCCCAGTAATCACATTTCTGCCTCGTATCTGTATTCGACAGTGACCTCTGGGGGACAAAAGGGAGGCAGCAGCCAGCTCCACAAACTGCTAGGCTGCAGATTCAAGTGCTATCAGAAGCACTTTTGTTCCCAGTTTGGACCCAGGGCCTCTTACGCAGGGGAATGCTTGCTGAAGCACAGAGTTTGTTTTCCTAAAGGCAATTTCTCTGTTGTCTGAAATTGCTAAATTCCACTTTAGGCCCTGACTCCCATTAATGATGAGAACAATAACGGGAATAAACTGCCTTTTATCTGAGGGCTTCAAAGTGCTTTATAAACGCAAGCCCTTATTATTATGACTTCGTATTTACAGACAAGGCCCACTGCGGGGGCTGCTAGCTGCGTGAAGAGCAATAATCTTGAAATTAATTCATTCATCTCCACCCCTTCCCCATCCCCTGAACCCTGCCAGAGTGAGAGGGGACGGGGGTCATAAGCAGAGGGCAGAACCCAAGGATGTGCCAGGGGAGCCTGGGAGCTGTGCCACTTTCTTGGGGGCCTCACAGACCCATGGAAGCCGGGAAGGGAGCCGGACAGGAGCTGGGTCCTCCTGACCCTCAGGTAAATAAGCAGATGGATGGCACCACCTGTAGCCCAAGTTCAGCACCCACAAGGCACGCTGGGTGGCTTTAGTGTGTGGACCAGTCACTCAGAAAACCTTCCATTTTAATACGTCAACTGTATGTCATGGGAGTTGGTCCTACGCTTCAATCCCCCAGGCCCAGGTCAAGGCCAGCTCACTAACAGGGTTCTTCTCCTGTGATCAGTCACAGCTCTGGAAATCTACATAGGATCAACGCATTTCCCAGATGGTCAGCCCAGAAACAGCCCTGCCTGGATCAGATCTCCTCCTTGGCCACCTCTGTCCCCTCGACCCTACATTTTGCCTCCCTCACCCCTTGCCTGCCCCCAGCAGAACACTAGGAGAGAAATCAAGGGAAGTTAGGTACCCCTTCGGAAACAGAACACAAGAGACTTCCAGGAGGCCGAAGCCCCTGCCTACCGCCCCTCAGTGGAGAGCAGGGTAAGGCTGGCTGCCCCAGACAAGTACTTCACAGTCCTCCGACTGCTCAGCTGGGTGCTCTCTAGGCCATGGCTCCCTGACAGCCCCGACAGTGATGTCACCAGGCAAGTTCATCATGGACTGGATCCAGCCAGGGGTCAAGGTAATAATAATCTTACAGCAGAACCACCTAAGATCACAAGTTAACGGCCAGGTGATTGCTCATCCCCTCATTATTCAACAAATGCCTGGTGAACCCCAATATGCGCCAGTTACTGGACCAGACGTTCCTCGTCTGATTTCCCCACCCAAGGGAGCCGATTACATTATTCAAGCTGGGCCTCCGGAAAAGAAGCCCTCCAGCTTTCAGCTCTCTCGGGCTTCAGTGCAGCCCTCCGCCCTCCCTCAGAGCTGGAGGAGGAAGCTTCTCTGGCCTCTGGGGTGGGGAGCAGTCTGAGCACCCCCCACCCCAGGGCAAGTCCCACCCATCGTGCTCACCCACAGGTCAGCAGGTGCCTGTCATGCCACTTACTTTTTGTTGGTTGTTTGGACGATGATGCAGCGCTCCGTTTGGTCCACACAGACACTGTAGACGTCCTTAGGGTAGGGGAGGTTTCGAATCCGCCACTGGAAACTCATCTTGGTGTCCTTGCGCATAAAGATGGGCTGCAGAAGGCAAAACCAACTTAGGGACTATTCTTGGTGAGAGCGAACAAGGGACAGCCCCTGCTCTGCAAAGCTCTGCCTGGGGCACACAACAGGAGGAGACCCTCATCTCTTCCCACAGCTCCCCGGACGCTGCTACTGCTGGGACATTCCGGGCCTGGAGCCCTCGTCGCAGGATGACCAAGCCCAAACCCTTTGGGTATTCATTCAAGCAAACCCTTCCAGAGCTCTGTGTCCACACAGAGTGTGGCATACAGGTGGGCACACGGGAGACAAGGGGGTGACTAAGACATGGTGTCTGCCCTCCAGGGCCAGCAGCCCACTCCCACCTCCCTGACCTAACGGAGAGACATACATTGGCTTTGTTTTCCTTGATGAATTCAGGCCCCAGGCCCCCTGCTCCCGGGAGTGCTGGCTCTCCCACCTCCATCTGCCACTGGCCCAAGGCTCCCAAGGCACTTTTCACACGCCACTTTCTCACTGAGGAGAGAAGGAAGCAATGGGATTACCGGAAAGGAAGGGACTCTGCTCTTCCTGCTGAATCACTGACGCCACATTAGATGACTGGAAGGGGAGAGAAGTGGCCATGGTGGGCCTTTACTCCACCTCTGTCCAAGTGAGCAAGACCTCAGAGCTGCCAAAAGCTCAAAGCCCAGCAGAGCATTTCGATACTGGGTAATCTGGAAAGCCCGTACCACGGGTGCCCAAACAAAAGGGATTGACCAAAGCTCTGAAGGGAGCCAAGTGGAGTTAAGAATCTTCCAGGCGTGATTCCAAGCAAGGGAGAAATGTGCTGGTTAGGAACAGGGGAGCTCCTGGTAACGGGGAACATTTGGATCCCAACAAGTACGAACTGAGATGCATTTGTTTCCCTCTAGAAATGTGCCACGGGAAAAATAAGAAAATGAAACCTGACAGGCAGATTGGTCTCATGATTTAGAAAGTCCAAATACAGAAATTCACTCATTTCAGGTATGCCTGGCTTAACACAACAGCCCCAGAACTGTATTTAAACGAAACGTTAGGCACACACCGGATTTCAAATGCGTTATTTATACACCATGGGAATTTTTCTTGCAGAACAGGATCATCCTTTTATAATGCACACAATTGTCTCCATTTTACCTCGGTTTACAACCCACATGTTTACATAAGATTTTTTTTTTTTTTCTCCCCCAAGTAAGGTCCATTCTGTATGGAAATTGTAAGTGGAAACAACTAGTTCCCTGGACATTACCTGAGGACCCCTGCCAGGATTCTGGGAACCCCAAGTCATTCATGTCTTCAAGGTGCAGCCATCACAGCAGGGGAGCTCCCCCCACCCAGAGCTGGAACCCCTGGGCTCCTCTCTCATCCTGCAGCGCTGGTGTCCTGGGGGGCGGGGGCAGCCTAACTACCGCCAAACGCCAGCAGCCCTCCTGACACCGTGCTAAGGAGCTAATAAGTCAGAAAGTGCCCAGTGTTGTGTCACAGCTGCTCCAGCCCACTCCCCTCTCTGGGCTGGGGTGGGTGAGACCCGGAGTCAGAGTCTCGGGATGGGTTTCTTCGAGACCTTTGGAGCCGCTGTGCCAAACCCTAACGCCCTCCCTGCTCCGAGTAAGGCATGCAAGCTGAACACAAAAGTGTGCTGTAAAATTAGAATTTTCCCTTGAATATGTGCTTTTATAAGGTCTGCTGCATTCTGCAGTGTGATTTTATTACGTCTTAGGGCCAAAAATTCTCCCTAGAAACACATTTCCAAGTTTATAATGAAAATTAATAAGGAAGAGTAAAACTTGGAAATATGCTTTATAGGCAACTTTTTTTTTTTTTTTTTTCACAAATACTTCTACTCTCTTAAGTGAATGGACTGTGACCGGGAGTATATCCAAGTCTATTCGTGTAATACCTCACTTAACTGGAGGCCGGCCTTCTGGCTCTTTCACTGCTTTCTTTCTTTTTTCTTTCTTTCTTTTTTTTTTTTTTAACACCTTGGGATTAAATTCTTTGCTAGAATGTAGAAGAAAGTCTCCCTACTCATTCCATTATAAGATCCAATAAACGGTTTTGGTGAAGTCCTTGTTATTTTTCCCACGTATATGGGCATGAATGCACACGTGCAAATACACACTTCGTCTTGTCTTTCTTGTCCTGTCTTTGTTCCTGAACTCAAGGACAGTTCCTGCGGCAACAGAGGACTGTTTCCACCTGCTGTCACTCTGATTTGATTATATGTTAAACCCAAACTGGTGTGTGGAGGGTCGCTCTCTGGGATGCTGTCGTATCTTCCCGCTGAGCCAGGGTCAGTCCTTGCAAAGGAGACTCTCCATGACCCTAAAGGGCCCAATGGGGAATATATGAAGGAGGCAGTGCCCGGGGGCTTTTTCCTAAATCAGCAGGAAGCACGCTGCTGTCCTAGACTGGTGAAAGGAAGCCCCATCTTTCAGGTGGGCTGGAAAGTGGAGGTCCTAGAGGCCTCTTTCCCCAAAGCTCCAAGCCTTGGCCTGCTTCCAATGCGGATAATTACATTCCCCTTCCCTAAACACTCCCTGCCGCTCAAACTGGAGGCAGGGCTCTTCTTTTCTGCCCTAAAACACTGCAACATTGCTCTGTGGCTATTAAACAGCTGCCACGTCCCGTCCCCCGAGGAGGCTGAAGGGAATCGAGTGGGTCATTTATAAAGCCGGCGAAGTGCTTGGGGATGAAAGTGCTCAATGTCCTCCAAATGCAGCCGGGGTGGCGAGGCTGGCGGTCAAATACCAAAGCAGATTAAGCCGGTAATCCAAATGTAATCGCGGGGGGATGGCCTGCCCTTCAGCCTCTGCCCCCCTGGACGGGCTGTGTTCTTCAGGGGCTGGTTTGATGTTCCGATCCTTGTTCTGGGGCCCTTCAGGTTTCCCTCTATGACTACATACAGCACTCATTGTGTGGGGTGGGAATGAATAGCCCTGAGACGGTTGAAAAAAAATATGACACCACTATGCTTATTAACACCAACTGGAAGAACTCCCTCCGACACAGATGCACCAGCGGCAAATTACGTTCTGGGTTTTTCGAACAGAAAACCAGTTTAGCCAATTATCACATTTGTATAGTTAGCTGAGAAAATGGAAACAATTCCCATTTATGGCCACAATAACCGTGTCCGTATTTTACTTTATAGAGTGCTCAAGCTCGAGTTAGTTCAGGCCCTGAGATTGTTTATACTTAAAAATTAATAATTTTGGAAGGGCAGCTGGTGGGGGTAGGGTGAAGTGGTTGGAGATGGGTAAGGACAAGCTGTTCAAGTGGGGTGTTCCTGTCTGCCCAGCTCTGTCCTGCTCCCACCAGCCCCTTCTTCAGTCATTCTGGGGGTAACAAAATTTAATAAGAAAACAGGATTAAATATTCTCAACAACCAATAGTATGTTGTTGTGCATTAAAGCACAGGCTCTTAAACAGGCAGACTCAGACTTAAATCCTAACTCAGAAACTAACCAGCTATGGAATTCTGAGCAAGGTGCTGAACCTCCTAGAGCTTCCGTTTTTTCCTGACTGTAAAGGGAGACAACAGTACATACCTCATCAGGCTGTAATGAGGATGGTTCGATGAGATAACTCATAATGAAGCACTTAGCATGGCGCCTAATAAAAGTTATGGTATTATTATCAGATAAACTTTGGCCAGTGTCCGCCTATCAATCTGCATTTCTGCTTTTAAGAAAAAAAAAAGGAGTTGAAGGCTGTCTATTCCCCACCTGCCAAGAGAAGTGACAGGTTAATGTGGAATGCTACAGAGGAAGGTACCAGAACTTGTTTCTCATTTTAATTTCATGTTCAAGCACAACTAAGAGGCCGGGGGTTATTTGTTTGTTTTTATGGCCACAGCAGCTATAGGCAGGTTGTTTGCTCTGAGTGGAGGAGAGAGGTGGTGCCGGGGCCTGCGGGGAGGAACTGCAGCTAGTCTCGGGCCTGGCAATGGCGGTGGTTAGCCCACGTGACCTCTGCTTTCATAAGCTTGCCCCTGTTAGGCATTCCAAGCCTGTCACCCCCTGGGAGCGCTATAAATTACAATGCATTGTGAGGATATTACTACTGTATTGGTTTCCACCAAATCAGTGTCATATGCTAAACACATCAAGATTTTTAATAGCGCCAGACTAAACCAATTGGGACTGGAGCCCAAGCAGCTCATAATAAGGAGGGATCAACACTTCACTCTGTGACTGAACATGCGCAGGACACACATTTTAAGACTGCAGACTAAGAAAATGCAAACCAGTGTAATCCGTGTTGTCGGTTCTAGACATTTATGAGCTGTCAGAAAAAGGGAAAAAGAAATTCCCTTGCCGATACTACCTGTCGATCAGGCCCAGGAAGAAATTAAAGTCAAGAATAATGACAAGAAAATAACCCAACCCATGATTCCATCATTGGATTTAGCATTTCAGGTGGAACTTAATAAAGAGACCAACTCCCACTGCTGACAGCCTCAGGCCTTGGGTCAAAGCAGCAGCCACCTAGCTCTGGGAAGTCAGTTAATGCTGATGTGCATACCTGGGCACAGAGGATGGACAAATCAAATAATTCCCAGAAATCTGGGCTGGAGCCCCTACTCATGAGTATAGTCTTAGAGGAAAAGAGCTGCAGGCATGAAAACAAAAATGTTGCAAAATCCCCATTTCCACTCCAGACCCCCTTTGATTCAGACACTTTCCAAGGTAAGGGTCAGATTTAACAGCGCGCCCTCTGAGGCCAGGTCAGTACCTGCTGCGGCTGCAGCTTCAGAAAACAAGCGAGCAAGCCAGGAAGCGCCGTGAAAGCCTGCCCCGCCCTCCGCTCGCTCAGCCCGGAGTAGAGGCTCACTTCCAATTCTGCCTTCTCTATACAGGTCTTCCCCAACACTTCTCCTACGGAAGACTTCCTCACATTCCCATGGGTCTGGGGGTCAGGTGGCGTTTACTGGTCAAGCAGACACTCCACCTGGTGTCCAGCCCTGACCTCACATTATTCTCAGGGATAATCTTGCCTTGAGGGCCTCAGTCTCCCCTGGCTTCACCTTTGGTGCTCAGTTTCTCCCTCAAGCCTCAGACTAGAATTGCTTACTTGTGCTTTGGGTCACGCCCCGCGTTCCTGCGGGCCCAGTGGAAGCCCCCATTACTTACCAAGTAGCTCGCCCGTCTTCTCATCATATTCTTCGGCCATTTCCTTTCCATCTGGGAACAAATAGTGCACCTTCCTTCTCCCTACGCACAAAGCAGAGAGTGCCTTACCCCCATGCCTCCTCTTACCTTGTGCCTTGCACATCAAGGGATCTACCTGGGAAACACCAACAGCCTTGGGCTTGGGCATGAGAAACCCTCCCAGAGCTGCCCATGAACTCTTTGCCAACCATTGCCCACCGCTAGTTTAAGACATGTCCTGGGACGCCTTTCCTTTCTGCAGCTTTCTCTGAACACATGTTCCCTCTACCAACAAAGCTCCATACTTCTCATCTGTTGAACTCCTTGCCCTTCAAAATCCAGCTCAAATGTCACTCCACTGGAAAGTCCTTAGCCACGCTGGCAAAAGTCATCACTTCCTTATTATTTGGGCCTCCCTGGTGCTTTATTCATATCCATAGTGGGGCATGTGTCACATGGTATGGTACTTTTGTTAAAGAGCATCCTCTCTCCAGGAACAGTGCCATATTTATCTTTGTCTCCCCAGTTCCTAAAACCAAGCCTATGCACTCGGGATACTGAACTGGGTTTCCTGACCAAGCACTCCTTCTAGCCACACCATTGCTGTGCCTTCTGCCTATCTCTCCGCCACTCCTAGCACGCAGCCACATAATGTTAGTCCTTTTACGTTTTCTTCATGTTTACCTCAGTTACGATTTACATTTGTGCGATTCTTTGATTACGGCCTGTCACTATTAGATAGGAGGGGTTTTATCCTGCTTGCCTATGGTTTCCCTAACACCAAGCATAGTGACTGGCACACGTTAGGAGCTCAGCTAAGTATTAATTGAAAGAAAGAACACTGATTCAACTTTCACTGAAACAATGCAAGAACCCAGGGGAGTCTCCTAGCCCAACTCTTCCACCTGTATATTATAATCATAAGCATTTTTTTAAAGCGACTATGTAATTTCCCCTATTTTTACCAATGGGTCAGTTGACATAGGTAGGTTCCTCAGCGAGCCTAGTAACAGGGACAGGTACCCAAACTAAACTTGATGAGTAAGGGCTCCAAGGACCTTAAGAAGTTAAAGGAGTCGCTACCTAAAATTTGCAACTTTATCTGATCTACCAAGCCTTTTTTCCATTTAATTCATTCCCCTGGACACAATTCCCTTGAGTCATTCCCAGTTTGTATTCTGGGGAAACTCATCCCCAACTTCGCAGAGCTTCTCAGCGTGCCCCTAGGTTATACCCCCTTAAATCATTTGGCTGGCTAACAGAGGCGGACGGGGTTTTCCTGGTAGCAATGGGGTCAAAGGTGTTGCCCGTGAGTAGCTAGAGGTGTCCGGCCTGACCCTCTTCTCCCCTGGAGTCCCTCTGGAGTCCAGGCAGGATGCGGTACTTACTACTGGCCAGCCATTTCACATGTTTTATTGCATTTAATTCTCAAAATAATCCTATGTGCCCCCATTACCTGTATTTCACAGATGAGGAAAATCGAGACTTAAAGTTCATGTAACTTATCCAAGCTCATAAAGCTATGAAATGACAGACCGATATTTCAGCTCATCTGAGGCCAAAATCCATGCTCTAATAACCAAAGTAGGATAATGTGCATAGCTTTAAGTATCTGTAAGGCTGAACGCTGTTCCAAAGGTTTATTGGTCATGTTTCTAGTGATTTACTATGTTTAGACCTTAGCATATTCTATTTGGGCATTTATCTTTTTCTTACTAATCTGACTGATCTTTATGATATTAACCATGTGTCATGTATGTTGCAAATATTATTTCAATTGCCTTTTAACTTTGTTTAAAGTGGGTTTTCCTAAACAACTGCATAATTTCTATATAGTCAACTATTTTTTCCTTTGTGGCTACTACCCAGGAGTTGTGCTCAAAATGCCCTCCTTTACCCAAAGATTATATAATAATTATCTGTACTTTATTCTTTTTTTTTTTTTTTTAAGATTTTATTCATTTGACACAGAGAGAGGCAGAGAGGCAGGCAGAGAGAGAGAGGGGGAAGCAAGCTCCCTGCTCAGCAGAGAGCCCTATGCGGGACTTGATCCCAGGACCCTGAGATCATGACCTGAGCTGAAGGCAGAGGCTTAACCCACTGAGCCACCCAGGTGCCCCATATCTGTACTTTATTCTAACATATTTACTCTACAGGTATATATGTATGTGTATATATGTGGCTAATAAACAACTTTAAGTATATTAGCATACTTTGGTAAGAAAATACATGTATGTGTACATGCATGGAAGAAATATGGAAGTAAATTATAGGGGTGCCTGGGTGGCTCAGTCGGTTGAGCATCCAATTCTTGTTTCCAGCTCAGGTCATGATCTTGGGGTCGTGGGATCGAGCACTGCGTTGGGCTCTGTGGGGAGTCTGCCAGAGATTCTCTCCCTCTGCCCCTCCCCCCATTCTTTCCCTCTCTCTCATTCTCTAAAACACTAAATAAAATAAAAATCTTTAAAAAAAGAAAATGGGGGGCACCTGGGTGGTTCAGTCAGTTAAGTGTCTGCCTTTGTCTCAGGTCATGATCCCAGGGACCTGGGATTGAGCCCCTCATCAAGCTCTCTGCTCCCCGGGGGTGCCTGCTTCTGCCTCTCCCTCTGCTCTACCCCCTGCTTGTGCTCTCTCTAATCAATAACATCTTTTTAAAAATGTAAATTGTGATTATCTCTAGATGGTAGTTGATGGGTGATTTTACTTATTTTTCATATTTCCACAACAAGCCTAAATTCTTTCTGAAAAAAATTTGAAGAGTATTGGATTCTCATTACCAATAGCAGTGCTTTCTCATGGGAGGGAGGTAACATCCTCCCCACACCCACACACCCATCAGGAGGGTAAATCTTTAGGAGAGGTTTGACAAAACGTATCCATATACTTAACATTATTATTATTTATTATTATTATTTGGTTTTGCGGAAAAAGATCAAAAACATTGTTTTGTGATGCTAACAAAAAAACCTGGCAAAATCCTAGACGATGAAATATTTGTTGAAGTACCATCCAGTGACCAAAGGAAGTGAAAGCAGGGACTTCAATATCTGCACCCCCATATTCACAGCAGGATTATTTACAATAGCTATATAAGTGGAAGCAACCCCTGTGTCCAGCAACAGATGAATGTTAAACACAACGTGGTGTGTGCGTGTGTACACTGGAATGCTATTTAGCCTTGAGACAGGCAACAACATAGATGGACACTGAAGTGAAATAAGTGGACGGTAAGTGAAACAAGCCAGTCACCAAAGGACAAATACCGTGTAACTCCACTTATGTGATTACGTTCCTGGCATCGTCAAGTTCATAAAAACAGAATATACTATGGTAGTTGCCAAAGGCTGGGACCGGGGAGTCAGGGTTTAAGAGGTACAGAGTTTCAGCTGAAGACGAGGAAGTGCTGGAGACGGATGGCGGTGAAGGTTGCCCAACAATGTGAATATACTTCATGCCAGAGAACACGGTTAGAATGGTAAATTCTATGTTATCTATTTTTTACAATAAAACCAGAAACCACAGTTCTATGAGATAATGTCCAAAATCTTTAGCTTGGCATAGATCAAAACATACCCCAATTTATCCAAAATCCCTCTTCGTTTCCCACCATTTCTCCTCACTGCTCCTTGAGAAAAGAGAACTTTTATTCACCCTTGCGTCCTAGCACCTAGTACCTCACACAGTGTGTGTGTTGGGGGGGGGTGTTGTTATGACTGGGGGGACGCTTATGCCTCACTAAATGTTTTGTATTCCCCTAGTAATCAGCCATATGCTTTCGCAAATCCGTACCTTTCCTTACGCGTGAGTCATTCCCTCTTTTACACTTAGCAAACACAGATGAATTCTTTAGGACCCATAAACATCACCTCTTCTGTGAGGTCTTCTTTCAAAGAGCCGACGACTCCCACCTTCGTGCTCTCATACACTTTATAGAAGATTCCAACCTCTGGTTAACATACATTCTTACTTATTTACATATCGATTCTTCCCCCTCTCTGCTCTGGTACAGAGCCAGGCACATAGCAAAATCCTCCCTAAATGCTGCGTGAATGAGCAAATGAGTAGGTGATTTTAATTTCCACGCTTCCCTGATTGGCTTCTGCCTGCGGATGTGTGCCTCCAGCTGGTCTCCCACAAGCTACAGGAGTTTAGACAGTAATTTATCTGGCTGCCAAGCAAGTCCAGCAAAGAACCCCTGCAGCACTGGGGGTCCTACATCCGCCAATCCTAGGGGGAGACAAAAATCAGGACTCCTTACCTCTATGTCCACCTTTTTCCAGGCACAGCGCTGGGACCTTTGCTGTTTTCCCTACAGACCCCGGAGAACATTTAGAAGTTCTCTTACAAACACATTACAGCTGGAAAGGACATCAGAGGTAGCCCTTCCAGCTCATTTTACAGATGAGAAAAATAAGGCCCAAGCAAGTAAAGAGGCCACTGTACTTAATGGCAGAGTAGTAACTAGAGCCCAGGTCGCCCACCTCTTCATGACGCCAGGCTGCGTTCAGCAACACAACCCCACTGACTGGACGAGAGCCTAGGGCCGGTCTAAAACCCTCTTTAATTTCAGTTTCCTATTCTGTAAAATGGGGTGGAAAACTGACAGCCTCTTGGGACAGCAGTCGGGAGCAAATGACATAACGAGTACGAACGGAGTTAATATTTATTAGTAACAGAACTCAGAGCGGGACGACGTGGTGTAGAGGAAACTAGGAGGTGTCCAGAGACACGTGTTCCAGTCACGTCATCTCTCTGGGCCTCAGTTTCCTCATCTGCCAATGCAGGACTGGGCCTAGTCTGGCAGCCGCAGCACTTCCCGCTTGGCCGTCCCAGGCTCGGAGGCCCTTCGTGGAGGCGACCACGCGGAGGGCTGGACCCTGGGGTAAAGGACTAGGGAGCTCGTGGGGGGCCTCGAGTTACCGTCCTGCAGCAGCGCCGTCTTCTCGGCGGTCCGCAGATTCTCCAACCAGCCCGTGACCGCCATCTTCCCTCCGCCAGGTCGCGCGACCGGCCGCTTCCATGGCAACCATTCCGCCTCCGGTTACTTCCGGCCGACCCGGAAGGTCTTCTGGGCATTTGCCCTCCCCACCCCCACTTCCCACGCGCCACGCCCTCCGTGCGCTCTCATTGGCTGCCCAGGTAAGTGGTTTACTACTGCCCACCGTGGGTGACCCGCTAGGCCTGAAGTTGACCCACAGCGGACCGAATCGCCGCGGCCGGGAGGGGCCCTTAGGGCAGGGTCCGGACACTCCAGCCCTCCTCTGGTCCCCAGCTGGGAGTTCCCGGTGCGCGCCAGCTGCGGACGCAGCGGGCGCCCCACAGCTGCCGGTAGTCTTCACCCCAGCTGTGAGGCCGAGACTCCTCCCATCTCGGAAGGCGCCCCACACCTGCTGCGGCCATGCCCCATCTCCCGGCAGCTGCGGGACTGAGCACCCCAGTGACGAGAGGCCCGCCACCAGAGCAGGTGTAGACCATTACCCCGCCTCCCGAACACCCGCCAACATCAGGGTTTCCTCTGCAGGTCTGTGATGGTGTAGAGATGTGGGGTCTATATGTAGATTTCTCTCAGTCCTTCAACCCTCTTGGGAGCCCAAGCCTTTTCTAAAGATGTAGCTCCATTTCCTAGCCTGGCATCCCCTTGGCATCCCCTTTCAAAGTGGGATGCAGCAGGGCAGACACTGCACTGAATCTTTATAGAGCAACCCCTCTAAGGAGTATCATTTTGTACCCCCCAAGAGTTCTCCATTAGTCCCATTCTTACCCTTATTTCCCCCAGTACTCTGGTTTTGAAAGGCTGGTAAGTGCTACGCTAAACTGCTGAAGTTCTTTTGGGTTTTGGGAGACCCCTCCCCCCCTGGGGAACTGAGCTACTGCCCCCAAAGCCTGGTCATTAGAGACACCACCCTCATAGCCAAAGGGTTGGGTAACCTCAGTTCTGGGTTTCCACATGACAGTTGCCCTGATGAAACCTAAAACCATTAGGCCGGGATCTGGCCATACCTCAATGGACCCTGGGGGCATCTTGAAGGCATTTCCCAAGCGGAGGAAAATTCATGCCAATCCATCATCAAAAGCACTTGTAAAGAAACCCAAGCAAGAAGGTGGAGAAGAAGCAGGAGGTGAGCAGATCCACTCTCAGAACCCTCACGTACTTGATCCCTCAGGCTTCTGATACTGTTCATGTCAAGGAACAGATACTAGAGCAGGTTATGCCAGTCCGTGGCCTGCAGGTTGTTTTGTATCCTTGTCGCACTAGGCTTGGGCCCCAGTCTTTGACAGGCCACTTGCTGTGTTATTTTCTACTCTGCCCCTAAACCTTCATCAATCAGAAAATACTGTCTGGTCCCTAAGGAAATGACCAGCAGAATCCTTTACTCTCCAGGAGGTTGCCTGAAGAGGGATAAAGGGCGGGAGACTCAGGTCCCCAGAGTTAGGTTATTTTGCAGCCAAGCTGACAAATAAATAACAGCTCATGTGGCAGGGAGGGGGGGGGGAGGATCTTTTACACAGCCAGGCCTGAAATGGCAAGACATATGTGCCTTATGCCTTGTACAGAGGTAGGTGTCTATTAATACTTGAAAGAATAAATGATCAAATGAAGCTTTATACAGGATACCTACAATGTGCTCTAGCAGTGTCTACACCATTCTAGGTTACATGAGGGAACAGGACATATTGACATCCTTGCCCCTTAAATCAAGTGATGGTTCATGGGAAATTAACTGTATGCCTGCAGCAGAATCCCTGGAAGGCTGGCTGTCTGGATGGAAGGGAAATGATTGTTTGGGGGCACAGGACG